TCTCCCACCCCTCCACCTCTAAAACTGGCTCAATTATGATCGAAAGTTAAGTTAATTTTTTTTAGTGACCAGAACTCTGGGACTTCTCATCCTGTGCTTTTAGCGATAGCGTGCATAATAACACCCCTCCCCACCTCTATATTCCGTGCACTGAATAAAACCCGACAGGTACGGACAGGTTACCCATGTAGTGCCGCCTGCTATGCACTTCTCCTGCAGATCCATGAGGGCAGTCATAATGGGTGCTGCGACACCGGGCGAGGGCAGGGAAATAGCCACGACAAGCCCTCAAATCAGTGAAATGGTCGAAACTATTCCGCCGTGTGAAACATGGAAGCCCACATTTTGTGATGTGGGGTAAATTCCCACACTGTAGGGACCATCTAAAAACCATGGAGTCGAATTTTCATGCCAGGGGGATGTTCGGACCGGGACAAGTTGTAGAGCATACCATACTTATCCGAGTGTTGATACTATACTGTGGCCCTGGTCGCAGACATGGCGGTGGCCTGTGCACCGTTTTGCCGTAGCTTGGCCAATCGGGTGGGGCACAATATGTAATTTTTTCTCGATCTGCTCGGGCGGTGGTGTTGCGCAGCATGATAGACGATAGTGCTGTGCAGTAGCGGGTGACTACTCGTAGTCACAGCGATTGAGATGGCAAGCGTGCTATTGCTTTTTTTCGGCAACACAACTCGCGGCCATCGGGGCGGTCCGGATTTTTCTGGTCCGTGGAGCGTACAGAAACCAGATTTTCCGATGTCATAGTACTATACTGATAGTGGAGAAGAGGGTCGCTCGGATGAGTGGGGGTGTAAAGGGGTGCGGCGACGGGAACGGCGAAACGGCGAAACTGCGATGAAATGGGGAAAGCGGTGAAGCGGCAACGCCAATGAAAGGAAACGAAACGACGATTAGTAACGCAGCAGAAAAATACTGATCGCTAGCGCACGACTTTGGAGGAGTGGAGGAGTTCGCGGGGTGTCTCATTCGACTCTCTCAACACTAGACTATCGCTCGACACATTTGTCGCCCCCGGACCGTCACCGCTCCGCCCCTTTGACGTTCCATACTGGCGAGAACATGATTTGCTTCCAGTGGAGTGCATGTTTTCTTTCTATGATGCGTTACTCTAAAGCCCATCTCGGAATCTTCCATCCGAACAGGCGAAACAATGGCCTAAGTATGTCGAACTGTTTCCGAGCATGTCGAGCAGCATGGATGATTTTTCAACGATGCGTTGTTCCTTCATACGGAAGGTTGCGAGCTAAGAGCTTGTACTGTACCAGCACTGTACCCTATCATGTGAGTAAAATTTAATAGGAAAAAACCACTGGGATTACCGCGCCATAAAGCACTCGGCCATGGTTTTGAGCGGGACTTATGGTGGTGAAGTAGGGGTTGTGTTGGTCGATCGATAGATGCTGTGAAAAGAAACATAGCGTTGTAGGAGTCAGAAACCTAGACCGGTTGCATAGTTGCGTACTTTCCTCCAGGGACGAGAATCCGTGATTCTGAAGGGCTATTTGGGATCACGAGTAAATTCATAAGGGACTGGTTTTTACTGAACTTGAGTACCTCACACTACTCAAGCATCCTCCCCCTGTTTGTACAGTACAAGTAAGATAATTCGCCTAGTATCCACTCCCGGGTTGCTCATGTCAACCAGACCTTGCTTTTTTCCGCCAATATGGACCAGTTGCTCCTTACCCCATGCGTAGGATCTTGCTGATCCTTTTTTTCCCCTTTTCGACCAATTCCCTAATATCGTAAATGGTAGTACTATTACTTGTACTTGTACGGTACCGTAGCCGACTAACCCGAACAGACAGGGATGCATGTACTGTACAAGTATTTGGCTGGTTGGCCTTAGGTAGCTAGTCAGTGGGCATTTAGTCGAGTATTGTTCTACTTGTGTCCCATACTAGGTAAATCGCCATCTACCTTTCGCATGCAACTCACGGAGGGTCGAATATTGATACCGGGGGGTTTGAATCGGGACTGTTTGTAAAACATATCCTTATCTACTTACGAGCTCGGATACTGGTGTTCATAGGGTACGGAGGTCTGCTCTGGCTTGTCCAATTCCTTCTGCCACACTTGTGGACAGCGCAGTATGTAGTACAAGCAACGGCAGCACTAGAGAGTATATTAACATGCCGCAAGACTGGGGTAGCAAGGGTAGTATTGCTTTTTGTCGAGACTCAGCCCCGCTTCCTCTAGAAACTGATCACCAACATCGCTCTGACTCTATCCAGCGTTTTCTTGCTTCAAAGAGAAGATATCATCACAGATACCACTCGCCTGCGACCAGAAATCATGAGCAATACTAACAACCGAAACCTACCCAGCCGTAACAACGGTAGCTATAAAGTCACCAACTCGAATAACGCCACCTACAGTCACACAACCCCCGATGATGAGGAATCGCGAATTCTATCATGGATATCACCATTGGAGTCATGGAGGAGGCACAGCGATGTGGCTCGCACCCGTGCTGAAGGTGTAGGGGAGTGGGTACTGCAAAGTAGCGAGTTCCAGGCGTGGCGGCAGGACGGAAACCATCTGTCAGCTGGTAGGGTTCTGTTTTGTCAGGGTGCTCCTGGAGCGGGGAAGACCTTTACTTGGTAATATTTGTGCTCGTATATATTCTGGCCACTGCTTACTCGGCGATAGCTCCTTAGTTATAGATATGCTATGCGATGAGACTGTTGGCCAGAATGTCATGGTTGGTTGCCTTTATTGCGACTACCGGGGGCAGAGAGAGCAAACGGCGGAAGTCATGATTGGGAGCCTCCTGAGGCAGTTTGTGACTGCGTTGCCGAAAATTCCTGGTGCGATCACACGAGCCTTTCAATCCACGAAGCCCCACCTTAGAGGACGGGCACCAGAGCTTGCGAAGATGATTGAACTATTTCCGGCGGTGCTGGGACAATTCCGGCAAGTGTTCATCTGTGTCGATGCACTGGATGAGTTTGTGCCGGAGTACAGAACCCGATTTCTACACTCCCTATACCGGATATTGGATAAGTCACCAAATACAAAGCTTTTTCTTACTGCGAGGCCCTATATCCAATCGGAACTGGAAAGTGATATCCCACTGCATATGAGAGTAATCACTATTCAGCCCCTATTCAGCGATGTCGAAAGGTACCTGATGACAAAACTGGATGCCGATCCACACCCTAGTGAGATGGATGATGGTCTCCGGTCAGAAATTATGACCAAAATTCTTAGAGAATCTTCGGAAATGTGAGTATGGTTCAGTGTCGTTGCCAACTTATAGCTGACGATGGGTTAAAGATTCCTTCTAGTCAAATTGCAGATTGATTCGATATTAGGGGAGATCACCATAAGCGGGAGAAGGAAGAAACTCTACGAGATTACAGAGAAATTGAGTGACGCTTACACAGCCGCTCTGGAGGGAATAAAAGGGCAACGTGGAGTCCTTGCGAGGTTGGGAATTTCGACCTTGATGTGGATTTCATTGGCGGAACGACCCTTGCTCATCGATGAGTTGTGCCATGCCCTCGCGATGGAACTTGGATCTACCAATATCGATACTGAAATGATTCCTCCGATAGAGATTGTTGAAGAATGCTGTATGGGGTTAGTCACCATTGACCATGCGTCGTCTACGGTCCGTCTTGTCCATGCTACATTACAGGAATATCTGCGCGGCCATCAGTATAGGGTCTTTCAGAACCCTCATTCTACTATCGCCTGGGTTTGCCTAAGCTATCTGGGCACTAAATCAGTTCGAAAGCTCCCGCCAGATATTAGAGATGCACCACCTGCATTCCCGTTTCTTGGCTATGCCTCCTGTCACTGGGGAGCTCATGCCCGGAAAGAGCTCACAGGGTCAGTAAGGCATCTTGCGCTTGACATTCTTGGCCAATACCCTCAACATGCAGCTGTAAACATCTTTTTGTGCAACCCAAGAGCCCCGCGGGACTGGCCGCGCAGCTCTGCCGGGTTTACTGGACTGCACTATGCTGCATACTTTGGAATCGCTGAACTTTTGGAAGCACTGTTGAGAATGGAATGGGCGAATCCAAACCAAATGGATGAGTGGGGTCGTACACCTTTGATTTTGGCTGCCGAAAGGGGGAATGAAGCGGTAGCAAGGATTTTAATAAGCCGTGTCGATGTCAACCCTAACTCAGTAGATGAGATGGGCCAAACACCGCTTGCTCTAGCTTCCGGGGGCGGGTATGAAGGAATTGTAAGGATCCTGCTGAGCCGGGCTGGCGTGAGCCTCAACTCAACAGATCAGCATGGAAACACACCACTCCACCAAGCTTCTGCAATTGGCCATATTGGAGTGGTGAAGGCTCTATTAAGCCATGCCGATCTTAACCCTCACCCGCCAAACTGGGTTCGCCAAACGCCACTCTTTTTGGCTGCTGCCAATGGCCATGGGGGAGTGGTAAGGATCCTTCTGAGCCGTGCTGATGTCAACCCTAACTCAACAGATGGGGGTGGCCGGACACCACTCTTCCGAGCCGCTGAAAATGGCCATGATGCGGTCGTACTGGTTCTACTAAACTACGCCGATGTTAACCCTAACTTGGCGGATCGGGATGGCCAAACTCCGCTCTCCCGAGCCTCCGTTAATGGCCATGAGAGAGTTGCAAGGATTCTATTAAGCCGTGCCGATGTCAACCCTAACTTGGTTGATCGGTTTGGCCAAGCGCCACTCTTCCGAGCTTCTGGGAATGGGCACGAAGGGGTGGTAAGGATGCTACTAAGCCGTGCAGAGGTCAACCCCAACTCAACAGGTGGGGGTGGCCGGACACCACTCTTTCGAGCCGCTGAAAATGGCCATGATGGGGTGGTAAAGGCCCTACTAAGCCGCACCGATGTCAACCCAAACTCGCCGGATGGGCTTGACCGAACACCATTATTCCAAGCTACAGTATATGGCCATGAAGGAGTCGTAAGGATGCTACTAAGCCGCGCTGATGTCAACCACAACTCAGTGAACCTGTTTGGCCAGACGCCATTTAGTATAGCTTCCTTGCATCGGCGCTTCGGAATAGTCGGTTTATTAAAGGCCCGGCGGTAAATTTCTCAACCACATCGATTCTGGAATGTCTGCTTCCTCCGTCTCCTCTCTTGAGCTTCACCGATGCAGTTATCACCCTCACCTTATCTTGGCTGTCCATCCCTTCCGATTCTACGCCGAGAATTCTGCCGCCTCCTCGTCATCCGTAGCTTCAGCTCGATGTTCCCTTCTAGCGATATTGCGGACGACCTCTTCTCTTATTCCCTTGTTCTCTTTTCTCTCTCCAAAGATATTCCTCGTCTATACTCCAACTAGAATAAACGGTGTTTCTGGTGGGCTTGGGGGGGTTTGGATTTTATGCTTGGGTCTTTCCGATGCAGATAATATGCTATCCAATATGTATGATATGATCCCACGGGGCTCCGCGGGGGGAATCAAGGTGTCGACGCTTGTCTAAAAAGAAGCTAAAAGTTCAATAATAGCCTCGTAGTAATATATATAATTCATAGTTTTCGCTGACGTGATAGACTATCGTGCCACACCCCAGATTAAACCCTACATGATACCAGCCAAATGAGGCAAGCAGGCAAGCCCCAATATACAAAACAGCCGGGAAAGGAAAGGAACCCAACAAATCCGCCAGCGAATGCGTTTATGCCAGGTTTACCGCTGCAAACACCAAAGCTTAGAAAGTTATCCCCATACGAAACAGTGCTAGATTCTCATAAACATGGGTTTCGTCTAGCGTGTGAATTTGAGAGAAGCCCCGCTGTTGAGGCGGGCTGACCTGACTCCTATAGTCTCGTTAACGGGAATATGAGGGCCGGTGGGTGATATGTGGCTCATGTTTTCTCACTCGGAGGCCTCTTCCTGTTCCGATGGGACAAATACTATAGTCTACTGATATATTTCCTATAGTTTTCAAGATTGGGTAGCATGAGTAGAGGGCTGCCGCCTGGGGATGGTGAATAGTCATGTTTCGAATGCTGTTGCTGATTGTCTCATGGGGGGGGCCACAAGTTCTGAAGATTATTCGTTCGTTGACTGGGGGGTAAAAAAGAATAATCTCAAAGAGGGGAAGGGACCGTACCCCGTTAAAGAAACAAGTGAGGGGTGTATGGGTAGTCTACAATGTCCACATTCCTACCGGTATCATATAATGGGTATGCGCAACGGGAAGACCTTGATTGTGCAAAAAGGGACAAGAATATAAACCCACGCAATACAGAATCTACATTCTGATAAGCTACTTGCGCTCCTGCTTAATATTTTTTTTCTTTTTCTTTTACTGGCGTCACAATTATCAAGGACGGAATCGGCCGCTTCCCCAATCACGCGAACCATAATAATTTTTTTCCCCAACACACCCCTCATATTCTCCTATCCTTTAAACGGGCTCCACCGCGATTGAGGGTTGAGTCGGTTTTGTCATCACAGACTCTGAGATTCCTCATTCAGCTGTTTTTTTCTCGCTTTAGTCGTGATAACTTCCCCAACCTCTGCAATCCAAGCAGTTAATAACATCCGACAAGTACCAACAAGTTAGCCATGTAGTCCCACCTGTTATCCACTTTCCCTAGAAATTCACTGGGACTGTCACTATGGCTACCACGATAGTAGGCGAGGGCAGAAGGACCCGCCATCACTGGGACGGTCCGGGCTTTTCTGGCATGTGAAAGACGCGAAAACTGATATCTTGATGCACTGTGAAGTACCTTCCGGCAGGGTCTTGCAAGGTCCCCTACTGAAGAAATCGCTAAGATCTATATTTCGCTCAATTCCAGAGGGCCAAATTCTGCAAACTATTTGCGGTTGCTTATTTGCCAGGAGGGGTATCTATGGTGGATTGGTCAGTACGACAGCGTTCACGGATTAACTCCCCCGTCCGAGTATGATACCTGCCAACTCAAAGATTAAGGCTGCGGTTTCGGCCTGTGGCGCCGCGGCGGATTACTCGCCGGTACGTTGTGGCTTGGCTAATCACGTGGCGTGCAGTTTCAAGTTTTTGCCACATGTGGCTTACGCAGGACCCGAATAAAGGTACGGTATGTGTCGCGGTAGGAGCGACAGGTAACGAGTCTCGATGACTGAGGCAGCAAGGGCAATATTGCTTTTTGGTCAAGGGCGGCCCCACTTTTACTTAGAACCGACCACCAACATCGCTCTAGCTCGGCCTAGTATTATCTTGCTTCAAAGAAAAGAGATCAACTTACCACAGGTGTCACGTTAAGAATCATGAACAACAGCTACAACCGAAACCTGTTCAACAATAATAACAGTAGCTTTAACGTCACAAACTCGAATAACACCACCTACAATTACACAACCGTCAGCGATGAAGAATCGCGGATTCTATCGTGGATATCCCCATTGGAGTCGTGGGAAAGGCACAGCGATGTGGCTCGTACCCGTGCCAAAGGCGTAGGGGAGTGGGTACTGAAGAGTAACCGATTACGAGCATGGCGGGAGGAGAGGAGTGATCAGTCGGTTGGTGGCATTTTGTTTTGCCCTGGGGTGCCAGGGGCAGGAAAGAGTTTTATTTGGTAGGAGTAGTGACCCAGTATGTACTCAAAGGCACTACTTATCCGGTTATAGCTCCTTAGTTATAGATACACTTTGCGACGAGACCGCTGGCCAGAATGTCGCAGTTGGTTGTCTGTATTGTGATTACCGTGGCCAAAAAGAGCAAACGGCGGAAGTCATGATTGGGAGCCTCCTGAGGCAGTTCGTGGCGGGGTTGCGGGAAATTCCGGAAGCGGTCATACAAGCCTTTGGAGTGGCGAGGCCTCATCTTGGAGGACGGGCATTAGAGCTTACGAAGATTATTGAACTATTTCCGGCGGTGTTGGAGCACTTCCGGCGAGTATTCATCTGTGTCGATGCACTGGATGAATTTGTACCGGAGTACAGAGCCCAATTTCTACGCTCCTTGCGCCAAATCTTGGATAAGTCACCAAATACAAGATTGTTTCTCACCGCGAGGCCCCATATCCAATCGGAAGTGGAAAGCAGTATCTCACTTCATATGAGAATAATCACCATACAGCCCCTCTTCGGTGACATAGAAAAGTACTTGGCGACAAAACTGGATACCGATCCACATCCTAGAGCGATGGACGCTGGCCTCAGGTCAGAGATTATGACTAAAATTCCTAAAGAATCTTCCGAGATGTGGGTATGGCCCAATATGATTGCGAGCTTATAGCTGACGATAGATTAAAGCTTCCTTCTAGTCACATTGCAGATTGATTCAATCCTAGGAGAGATCACCATAGGCGGGAGAAGAAAGAAGCTCCGTGAGATGACAAATGACTTGAGCGACGCCTACACAGCTACCCTGGAGAGAATAAAAAAGCAGCGTGGAGCCCTTGCGAGGTCTGGAATTTCGGCCTTGATGTGGATTTCATTAGCGGAACGACCCTTACTCATCGATGAGCTATGCCATGCCCTCGCGATGGAAATTGGATCCCCCAATATCGATGCTGAAATGGTTCCTCCGATAGAGACTATTGTAGAATGTTGTATGGGGTTAGTCACCATCGACAATGCGTCATCAACTGTCCGTCTTGTGCATGCTACTTTACAGGAATATTTGCGCAGCCACCAGGACAATGTTTTTCAGAGTCCTCATGCCACTATGGCCGAGATTTGCTTGAGCTATATGGCTATTCAGTCAGTTCGGGAACTCCCGCCTGATCTCAAAACTACACCACGTGCATTCCCGCTTCTCGCCTATGCTTCTTCTCACTGGGGAGCTCATGCCCGGGGTGAGCTCACAACATCTGTGAAGCACCTTGCGCTTGGGATTCTAGGCCAATACCCTCAACAGTAGCTGCAAATATATTTTTATTCAACGGAGGAGCCCCGTGGCACTTGTCGTGTAGCTCAGCGGGTTTAGTGGATTGCTCTATTCTGAATACTTTCGAATCGAGGAATTGGTGGCGGCACAAGTTGAGCATAGAATAGGCGAATCTGAGCCGAGCTGAAGAGTTGGACCGCACACCTTTGGGGTTAGCCTTTGAAAAGGGAAATGAAGGAGCCGCAAGGATCCTACTAAGCCGCACCCATGTCAACCCCAGCTTAGAAGACTGGATGGAGCAAAAGTCACTCTTTCTTGCTTCTGGAAATGGCCGTGAAGGAGTCGTAAGGATTCTGCTAAGCCGTGAGGGTGTCAACCACGATCTAGGGGACCGGCTTGGCAGAACACCACTCCCCCGAGCTGGCCATGCAGGAGCCGTAAGAACCCTGCTAACCTGCTCCGATGTCAACCTCAACCCAGCAGATCTGCTGGGCCGAACAACTCCCCTTATGGCTGCCTTATCAGGACACCGCAAGGTAGTATGTTTACTTCGGACCCCGCAGTAAATTATTCAACCACATCAACCAACATCCCATCCCCGCTTCCTCAGTACCCCCTCTTTAACTCCAGCAGTGCGATCTCCATCCCCGCTCCACCCTTTTCGATACTGTGTTGCGCCTTCTCCCGTTTTGCCACTATTCACAGCTCTAGTTTAGCATTCTTTTTGTGTTATTACAAAGGGGTAGTGCTCTATTCTTTCTTTTTCCCTCCCTCAGAATTCATTCATCGGCATATACTCTAAGTATACCTTAACGGTGTTTCTGGCACGTTCCTTTTTCTGCTTTCTCTCAATCTTTAGCCTTTGCATTTCGGTTATGGATAAGTTATTCAACACATATGAAGCCCCTGGCGGGGGGAAGCAAGTGCCGACACTTTACGGGAGGAGAACTTGAGGGATGAATGGCAGTCGAGTAGTAACTTAACGCATATAATTTACATTCTCTTCCGATATGGTATATTTTTTTACCGTCGAGCAAAAAGCTGTTTTCTTGCGAGACTGTAGAGGGTTGAGCACTCTGCATGATACCGCCGGCCAAATGCAAGCCTGTGAGCCACCGTACCCAAAGCAACCAAGCAACAAAAGACGCTCAACTCCGCCAGTTCAGGATCCGTAGTCTGAGCACTGTGTTCGAAAATCCTACCTTTCAAACAACGTGCACCCAGGCACTACAAACCTTACAAACCGCACCTCGTAGAGTTTCACCCTAAGTTATAGAGGATGGGGTCCGAGATTAGCATAAAAAAACCCTGCCAGACTTTCAGTGACATGAGCTCCACCCAGAGTGAGTGTTTGAGAAAACCTCTCCGGTTGAAATGGGGTGTCCTTCCCGCTATCATACTGCTTCGTTAACGGCGATTGGAGGGCGAGGGGTGAAAATATTACTCATGAGTAATCACTCTGTCACGTTCAAGATTCGAGCGAGCGGTTAACACAGCGCGCGGCACGATACAGTGCGGTACAGTGCGACAACTCACCGCAAGATCACCGGACCCGTTGTCCGGGCCGGTGTGGATAGCCGGGAAACACATTTTACACAATTAACCCCAGTGTTTCGAGCGGGAACGTCGTGGGTCCAACTTAGCTGCTCCTCGGGAGCGCCCCCCAAACACGATCCTCCTATATTACCAAAGCCGCGTCCTTAAGTATT